GCCTCCTCGCGGGCGGTTGGGCCGGCCGGCCAGCCAAAGATCGCGGCCTGTTGTTCCGCGAGAGCCAGAAGGTCCGCCTCGGGCCCGGGCCGCCCCCGAGACGACTCCATACTGCGGGTGGGGGCCGGAACCCGGGAATTGGTCGCCCAGGCTCCGAAGGCGGCTGCGGCGCCTTTAAGGGGCGTTGGTAGAGGCGCGCGTATTGGCAGCAGGCTGACAATGGTAAGGACAGGAAAAACACTTTGATTGGTCTTGAAGACCAGGAAGTCCCGGAAGAAGAGCTGCTATTGGACGGCTGAGCACACGTGAGAGCCGGAGGGTGGCTAGAAGGAGGGGACAGCTGCGCTTGTCATCCCGCCCTTTCGGAGAGTTGAGGGGGCCTATCTTAAAGAACACGGTCTCGAAATATCAGAGTCCCTGGGGGCGGGACTCAGACTCCCGGCCGGTAATTGTCCCACCCACAATTATTACTTAGCAAATACCCAGTAGAGTTCCTAGAGAGGTTCTTGGGATGGAAATAGCATATGCTGCGTGGACCATCGGATTTGAACTGCACGTTGTTGACGAAAGAGGATGAAACCAGAATTCTCAGCAGAGCATGAATGGTTTGTCCCGTGTCTTCGGTTGACAGACCTAGTGGTCGAACTGCCCAGAGCCACTCACTGTGGGCAGCGCCTCGGGCCGATGGGCTGTCCTGTGTTTCTGCCACTCTGTTTTCTGTCTCCTTCCCCCTCCACGTTACGAGTCTCTCCCCTTGGAAGATGGTGTGTGATTTTACCACGAGGTAAAATATACAATAGATGAATAATTACAGATTTTGATAAGCACTGTATAGGGAAGTGTGATTGAGACCTACTGGGCAGGCATTCGTTTTGATACGGAATTGGGGAAGGCTTCGATGGGAAGAATTTTAATTGAAAAGAACTAGAAAGAGCCAGCCACCTTCCAAGCAGAGGGAAGAATGACTTGAGGCCAAGACTCAGACTCCCCCCAAAAAAAAGGCTGATATTCAAGGAATAAAGGTGGGGATTGGGAGACATTGGAATTAAAAATGACCTAGCCGAGGATTTGGAGCCTTGAGGCTGAAGAAGTAGGCGCAGGGGCCTCCACATTTTAGGGCCTCATAGTTCTTGTTAGGAATTGAAATTTAAGTGCAGTGGTGCATCATGGAAGGTTGTAAATTACAACACATAGCTAAAGTCCTGAGACATTCCTATTTAACAAAAACAATATGCTAATACTTTTTAGCTGACAGAGGATGTGGTGGTTCTTACTTGGATAGGAAGATGACTTGAGCAGCATCATACCAGCGTTCAGAGGAGCAAGCTCCTTCAAGCACCCCTCTCCTGCTCCCCAGGTCCAAGGTTCTAGCCAGTTAACTCTGATGATAATAGTTTACTTCTTCACTAGGCCTGAGGAGTCCACAATGGCCAACTGCCTGTATTTTATAGTCATGTACAGCTTGATAAAACCCTAGGCATTCCTCTGCTCTATAAAACAAAAAAATATATATTTGGACTGGGTAACTTTTCCTTAGAAAATGAGAGAATTGCCTTTGAGAATGGTAAGCCGGGCACAGGAAGAGAGTGATGCAATGGGATTCACATTTGGGGACTGTGATTCCAAGCTGACTGTGTGGAAAATGTTTCAGGGAGACAAGAGGGGACAGGCAGGCCAGTGAGGAAACAGTTTAAGTATGAGGTTATGGTGGCTCAGCCTAGTATGATGGCAACACAAACTGGGCATGTGGAGACTTTCTAGCTTATAGGTTGTAGTGAGCAGTGTTGGGCCACCCAGCAGTCTTCGTATAGGGGAAGCTATTCGCCCACCACTCCATCAGGTGTTGGTGAAGTGACAGCCTCCAGACAAGACCAGTATTTTATCCTGACTGCAGATTGGCTCAGGGAAAGGCACATGACCCAAGGTATGATGGGTAAAGGTTCTCCCCAGTACTTTATTATTTTTAAAAATATGTATTATTTCAAAGATTTATTTATTTAATTCCATTTCTTATTATAATTATTATTATTTTAATTTGACCAGAGAGACAGAGAGAAAGGGAAAGTGAGAACACAAGCCACTAGGTCTGGGACTCGAACTGCAATCAGGCATGTGGGAATCCAGTGCCCTTAACCACTATGCAACCTGCTGGCCCCATTACTTTATTTTTGATCTGTGGAAAGTGTAAAATGATTTCCCCTTCTTTGGAATTTCAAACTGGGTATCAGCTTGTCCATCTTCCAGGACAAGAACACTATAGAGAAGAAAACGAGGCTGGTAAGTAAAGAGAACCAGAGACAAAAGATGGAGAAGCATGAGTTCTGGAAACATTTGAATTCCTGTGCCAACCTAAGGCAAGCCTCCCTTTACCCTCCTGTGATTTGGTTCCTTGCCCCACATTTATCCCCCCACCCTCCACAAGCTGCCAGGTCTGGGACTCGAACTATGGTCAGCCATGTGGGAGTCCAGCACCTTAACCACCATGCCACCTGCACACCCCACAATTGCTTTTTTTTTTTATGAGAAATTTTTGCTAGGGCACTTGTACTTGCCAGAGAGACAGAAAGAAAGAGCAAGACAGGAAGTAAGAAATCACTCCCCAGGGAGCATGGACACACCACAATCCTTTCTCCTCCATTCTCCTCTTGGGATTTTGGGCATGTATGCACACCTGCCCACCATGAGTTTTAAGTTGCTGGGTCCAGGGCTCAAACTGTGGTTGACTATGTGAGAGTCCAGCAATGTAACCATTATGCCATTTATGTCATTTGCTGGTCCCTTTTATTTTTCCTTTTTTTTTTTTTTAATTTTAATTCCCTATAGGACACATATAGTCTCCAGAGAAAGTGAGAAAGCACTCTCCTGGGCGAATGACTGGGCCAAAATCCCATTTTCACTCTCTTTTTGGGATTTTGGGCATGCATACACACACATACACACCCAGCATCTTTTCTAAGCTGCTGGATCTAGGACTTGAACTACATCGTCATCCATGTGGAATCCAGTTGCCTTAACCACATCACTTTGCTGCCCTGACTTCTTTCTTTTTAAATTTGAGTAGTAAAAGCTGGTTTTCCCCCAAATTCGTTTCCCTAAACAAATGCCCTAGTCAGATGGACTCAGCACTTCCATATCTTTTCTTAGAAGAATGTCAACTCCTCATAGCCCTGGACACAGGCTATGAGTTCTTGCTGGGCTTGAGTAGGGCATTTGTTGAATAAGATGTAGGATGGAATGCAGGGTTTATGTGGGATGTAGAAGCATGTCAGGCTTTTGCATTGCATTAAATGGCATTTGCTCTGGCTACTTGGAATTTTCACTGTGAGGAGACAATGTCTCTCAGTATTTCAGAGTGGTCAAGCAGACTCTTTCCATTGCTCAAAGCAGGCAGAAGGAGCCAGCTGCTGGTGTGGTGGTTATGGTGGTTAGATGTACAGTCTACATGCATGGACTGGCAGCCTGAGAAACACGCAGGGCCATGTGCATGCCCAAAATTTCAAGAGGAGAAGGGATTGTGGCATGATCATTCCCTGTGAGGGGTGCTTTCTCACCTTCTCTCTCTGTTTCTCTATCTCTCTCCAGTCAGTGCACATGCCCTATAGCAAACTAAAAATTAAATGAATAATTTTTTAAAGAATTATTTAATTTTACTTATTCATTCACTTTTTTTTCTTTTTTTAATTTAACGAGAGAGAGAGAGAAAATAAGCCACTAGGTCTGGGACTCAAACTGTGGTCAGCCATGTGGGAGTGTCCAGTGCCTTAACCACCATGTCACCTGCTGGTCCCTAAATGAATAATTTTTTAAAAGCCATGGCATGGATGGGAACCAGCAGTTAGCGTAATGGCTATGTCACTGGACTCCCATGTATTCGACAGCAGTTCGCGTCCCAGATCCAGTGGCTTAAAACTCACACCGTGCGTGCATGCCTAAGATCCCGAGAGGAGAATGGAGAAGGGATTGTGGTGTGGCCATCCCCCCTGGGGGGTGATTTCTCGCTTTCTGTCTCTCTGTCTCTCTCTCTGTCTGGCGAGCACATGCGCCCTATAGCGAAAACCTCAAAAAAAAAAAAAAAGCCATGGCATGGAATGACATCAATGAGTGTGGATGGAGAAGAAGAGAATCCAACAAATCCAACATAGAAGCCCTCTGAGTTCACCATCAGGGACCACTCAGCTTGAGGGACTAAGAGGAAGCAATTAGTGAGCTCCATCAGGATGAAAATGAAATAGTACTGTTCCCTGGAGGTAGAAGGTAGGGAGGGAGGTATTTCTGGAAAAGATCACCCATGTTGACTGTGGCTGGACGGTGAGGTCAGACTAGGTCCATCAGGTTTAGCTGGAGCAGTTTTGGCTCCTGAGGGGCAGGTGATAAGGAAAGACAGAGGTCACAGTAAATGAGAAGTGAGGAAGTCAGTGTAGACAAAACTCCTGAGAAGCAAAGAAATTGGGAAATAGTTAGAAGATGTGGGGTCAAGAGAATATATATACATATATATTTTAAAGAATTGTTTTACTTAACTTTATTTTAATTTGACCAGAGGGGTGGGGGGAGAAAGCCTCCAGGTCCAGAACTCAAACCATAGTTGGTCATGTGGGAGTCCAACATCCTTAACCATCATGCCACCTGCTGGCCCCAAGAGAATATATATTTGTGATAGTAAATGTTTGTATGTTGATAAGAATAATGATCCAGCAAAAAGAAAATTAAAAGACATATTGGGGGGGCCAGCCTGTGGTCTAGTGGTTAAGGCAGCTGGATCCCACATGACCAACTGTGATTCGTCCTGGACCCAACAACTTGAAATACAATGCAGATGTGGGGCCAGCACATGGTGTACTGGTTATGTTGCTGGATTGCCACATGGCCGACCATGGTTTGAGTCCTGGACCTGGTGGCTTGAAAATCACACCAAGTACGTATGTGTGTGTACCCAAGATCCCAGGAGGAGAATGAAGAAGGAATTGAGTGTAGCCATCCCCCCTGGAGAGGAGTGGTTTCTCACCTTCCCTCTGAGTGTCTCTATCTCTTTCTCTTTGGTGAACACATGCACCCTTGGCAAAAACCTCTAAAAACCAAAACAAGGGGGGAACCAGCAGTTAGCGTAATGGCTATGTCGCTGGACTCCCACGTAGTCGACCGCAGTTCGCGTCCTGGACCCGGTGGCTTGAAACTCACACCGGGCGTGTGTGCGTGCGTGCCCAAGATCCTGAGAGGAGAATGGAGGAGAAGGGATTGCGGCGTGACCATCCCCCCTGGGGGGTGATTTTTCGCTTTCTGTCTCTATGTCTCTCTCTGTCTGTCTGGCAAGCGCACGCGCCCTACAGTGAAAATCTCTCCAAAAAAAAAAAAAAAAAAAAAAAAACAAGAGAAATGTGTGTGCCCCAAATTCCAACAGGATGGAAAAATGAAGGGATTTTAGCTGACCATTCCCCATAGGGAATGCTTTTCCCATCTCTCTCCTCCCTCTCTGATGAGTACTAATGTCTTCTTGTAAAGTTGAAAAACAAAAAGCAAAAAAACAGGCAACATACTGGGACTAGATGGTGGCACAGCAATAAAACACAATGATCTAGAGTCAGCAGATGGCATAGTGGTTATGTTGCTGGATTCTCACATGGTGGACCACAGTTCAAATCCCAGACCCAGTGACTTAACACACGCGAGGCTCACATGTGTGCATACCCAAGATCCCAGGAGAACGGCAGATTGCGGCATGGCCTCCCCTGTGGGTTGATTTCTCGCTATCTCTGTCTCTCTCTGTTTCTCTGGTGAGTGCACGCATCCTATAGCAAAAATCACTTAAAAACAAAAAGGATTTTCCCTTGGAGCCTTGGAAGGGTCCCTGGAACCTTGGAAGGGAGTGTTGACACTGCTGACACTTCAGTTTCAAGCCTTGGTACCCAAAAACTTTGAGAGAACAAATTTCTGGTATTTAAGCCACCAAGTGGCTGGTGTGCAGGTGCGGTGTGGGGGAGCTCAGGTCTCCCAGTACCCCAAGGCTCTGAGAGTCAGAGCAGGGGAAAACGGGGATGGGTACAGCCAGGGGCTGAGAAGAGGTATGACCAGTGGCAGTGATGCAGAGCCCACTCCACCATGCAGGGCAGGCAAGCCTCCATCCTCCAGGGCACAGACTCCTTCGCAGCAAAACCTACACCTAGAAACTTCTATACTCATCAGTACAAAAAGCTTCAACCTTTATTAAATAAAAAGGAGGTAGAGACAGATAAGGGTATGGGCCAGGACCCCTCCTTCCCCCAACACATACACAGACATACAAATAGACACAACGGAGTAAATGGCAGGAACAATCAGGGGACAGACTGAGGGGCAGAGGGAGGGAGCACCCTTCGAGAGTGGGCCCGGACCCAGGGGTGCGCTGAGACCTGGGCCAGGGCCAGCCGTTCTGAGGGGTTGTGTTTGAGCAGCTTGGAGATGAGGTCCTGGGCTCCTGTGGGCACGGAAGGGGGAAACTTCAGGTCCACCTGCAGATGTGGAGGAAGCAGGAGAAAGGATTGCCTTAGTTTCACCCTGGCTGCATTTGCCCTTGACTTCCCATTCTCTTCGGAGAGTAACGGAGGGCTCTGCAGACACACTGTCCCCTGCCCCTCAGAGCCCCCCAGCCTCTACAGCCCTCCCACCTTGACGATGCGCCGATAGGTCTCGTTGTGTGAAGCACTCTCGAAGGGTGGGTTCCCCACCAGCAGTTCGTAGCAGAGTACTCCAATGCACCACAGATCCACCTTCTCGTTGTGTGTGCGCCCCTCTATCATTTCTGGGGGCAGGTAGTCCAGGGTGCCACACATTGTCTTCCTCCTGTGTGGAATGAGGGGAGTGGGTGGGGAGTCCCAGGGACAGCCTGCCTCTCTGTTCCCTGCTGTCTGCCAGCAAGGAGACGAGAGACCTCGGGATGTACCAGGAGAGTGTTCCACCCAGGCAGGTCCACCAGGGCAACATTCATCTTGGAATTAAAGGAAAAATTGGACACCTCTCTAACGCTGGTCAAGCATGTTCTGCTTAAATCAGGTTTCATCTCTACTGCGCAGTGCTAGGAAGCCATTACAATGAAATAGGGGGTGGGCAGCCAGGGCATGGTGATTAAGTCTATTGGATCCCACGTGGTGACTACATGGTTTGAGTCCTGGACCCAGTGGCTTGAGAAAAACACTGGGAATGGCTAAAACCCCCAAAGGAGAGACAGAGAAGGTAGTCAACCGCGGTTCAAGTCCCAGACCCGGTGGCTTAAACTCAGGCCGGGCGCTTGTGCGTGCGTGCCCAAGATCCCGAGAGGAGAATGGAGGAGAAGGGATTGCGGCATGACCATCCCCCCTGGAAGGTGATTTCTTGCTTTCTATCTCTCTGTCTCTGTCTTCCTGGCGAGCGCATGCGCCCTATAGCGAAAACCTCTCCAAAAAAAAAAAAAAAGAAAATGTGGATGAGAGAACTGTCAGCCATCTGTTTTTGTAAAGATATTGTTGTATCTGATTTACATGAGGACAAACACCAATGTCTCTGGACAAGATTTGAATGTCCCAGCCCTATGCCCAGGACCAACATCCTTAGTCACCATACCTGAGGGAGGGGGCGTGCACAGACCAACCGAAGTCAGCGATCTTGAGCTCTCCCTGGAGCCCCAGGAGCAGATTCTCTGGTTTTATGTCTCTGTGAATCACCTTTTTCCCATGGCAGTACATCAGAGCATCTGCCAACTCCTCCATGATCTGGGAGGGCCAAGCACAGACAGTCAGACAAGGACAAGGACAGCTCTCCAGCCATAAGCACTGCACCCCTAATCCCGAGCTCCTTGCTGGTGTCCCCGGGGCTCACCCAACCTGACCTACCGTGGCAGTTCGCTGCTCGTCAAAAGTGCGGCTCTTCTGTAGCTCCTTATAAAGCTCTCCCCGGGGGGCATATTCCAGAATCAAATAGATCCTCTTCCGGTCATAAAAATAGTTGTAGAGACGCAGGATGTTGGGATGCCTGGGGGGAGAGACAGAGGAGGCTCTGCAGGCTGCACTTTGGCAATAAAGGAGCAGGGAAAGATGACAGGGCACATATGGGGCTAATGCGGGTGGCTGTGGGCCAGCCAGGGCCACCAGGGCTGCGAGTGGTGCTGGAACTGGGACAGCTCCCAGTTCCTGGTGTAAGAACTAAATAGGGCTCACTGGCCACAGCGGTGGAGACAACAACCTAGTGGGGTTGAACAAGGAATCGGGGTGAGGGCATAGAGGGGCTCAGAGGGCAGGCCGTACTGCAGGTGGGCCTGGATTTCGATCTCCCTGCGCAGCTGGTGCTCCACGCCCTCCTTCTCTATCTGAGACTTGAAGAGGACCTTGAGCGCCACGATGAAACGACTTTTCTTCTCCCGAGCCAAGTATACATTTCCAAATTTGCCTTTGCCGAGAGGACGCCCAATCTCAAAGTCGTCGATTGTGAAGGTCCGCCTGAATGGAATGCAGAGGCCAGCCACTGGGCGCTGGACTGGCGGGGGTCTGAGGGTCTGATTTCTCCTGCTCCCTCACCCCATCCTGCCCTCAGCCCCCTTTCTCTTGGAGGGAGTTGAGGATGAACCAGGCGTTCTTGCCCCCATCCCTGCTCCTCCTGCCCTGAGGTTTTGCCTCTGCCATTTCCTTTCACTGGGTGCCCCCTCCCTCATCTCCACCTAAGGCTGGAGGAACTTACATGAAGTTGGGGGTCCCATTGCTGTTCTCCACCACTTTCTGGCCAGGGGCCGCTAAGGGGAGAAAGGTAAGTTGACACTCACCTTTGCAATTCTCATCCCTACCCACCCCCATAGACTTTAGTCCCCTCAGGCCAGTCCCTCCCCTGGTTTCTGTTACCTAGCGGCTGGGTATTGGAGCGGCTCATGAGGACAAGTGCAGATGGGGTGGTTGGTTCCTTCCGGAGGACTCTCTGGGGCAGGATGTTCAGGCCAGACGGTGTCTGAGAAGAGGCAGAGGTAGCTCTGAGGGTGCCATTGTCCCAGCCACCACACTGGAATGTGCTGCTAGCAGCATTTCGGCTACTTGTTACAGAGCCACTCATCCTCCCACCCCAGTTCAAAGAGAAACACGGACACTGCAGTTTTGCTCCCTAGTCCCAAGACTCTGCTCATAGTCCCATATTAACATTATTATTTTTTTAGAGAGATTTTTGCTATAGGATGCATGCACTCATCAGAGACAAAGAGACAGAGAGATAGAAAGTGAGAAATCACCCCCCCTGGGGAGGGGGATGGCCATGCTGCAGTCCCTTCTCCTCCATTCTCCTCAGGATCATGGCACACAAGCACACACACCTGGTATGAGTTTTAAGATGCTGGGTGTGGGACTCAAACCTTGGTCGACTACATGGGAATCCAGCGACATAACCATTATGCCATCTGCTGGTCCCTTAAACTAGATTATTAATCAATATTTAAGTTGGCCTGAGATAAGGGAGAAAAGACTCACCCCAAAACAGTTCATTTAATCCCTTTGTCCCTGGCCCGTTTCACCTTCTTGGGCATAAAGCTAGCCAATCTGCACAGTCCTGTCCATAATATCACACTCACTCACCCAGCGCCCCCCAACCCAGGGGGCAATAGAAGGCTGGCTGGATGAATATCTGCAACTCAAGGAATTTTAACAGAGAAATATTTTCAGAGCCTCCTAGAAAGTTCAGTTTAGGAGGTAGATGGTGGCCCAGCAGTTAATTGTACTACTCTGTGAGGATGACCCATATGGCAAGATTCCCAGTTTGGGAGCCAGCATGTGGTACGGGGTCTAAAGCTCTGGATTCCCACATGGCCAACCACAGTTTGAGTCCTGGACCTGGTGGCTTGCTTTCTCACTTTCCCTTTCTCTCTGGTCAAATTAAAAAATAATAATAACAAATGGAATTAAATAAATAATTCTTTAAAAAAAGGGGGGGACAAGCAGATGGTGTAATGGCTATGTAACTGGACTCCTATGTAGTCGACTACAGTTCAAGTCCTGGACTTGGTGGCTTAATCTCATGCCAGGATCGTGTGCATGCGTGCCCAAGATCCCCAGAGAATGGAGGAGAAGGGACTGCGGC